ACTCAGGAAGATCAGGGTGTAATCCACTTATTAACTTTCATTGGGAAATTTCACATCCATTTAGCCAAAGCTTTCAAGGATTTGACCAAGTTTTGTTAAATTGAATAAAAAGTTCTGGATCTACACTTAAATTTAAAAGATTCTTCTCTGAACTATAATGTATCCTACTGCAAAATATCATGGAAATCGGTTGAGTAGTTTCTCCGAAAGTCTACAAAAAACAAACCAACAAACAAACGGACGGGGAAAAAGGATTTTCTCCGCACATTTCTTTTCTCCCTATGGATGCTGAGTATTTCCACTAAACCTTTCCAAAGTTTTGGTTCCCAGATCTGTTCTGTGTCTTACTAAATAACGTGAACAGGTCTGTTCATCTCCATTAAATTATTTCCTGCCTCATGTCAGAGCATAAATAATGAGCACACAAACCGAAATTAAAATTCTCTTTTATTAGTCATGAAAAAAAATAACACTTTGAGACCAGAGTGGAAATAAGGCTACAGCGGGTTTGAAGTCCCACTCGAGCCTTCAGAGTCGAGAAGCGAAGAGATAAAACAGTGGATCCTCCTCAGTTTGTTGAGCTGAACCAAACTGTATTTGCAAATATGTTTCAGTTTGATTTGGGGGCGTCCTTCGTGCCAGACGGGTGGAGTTCACCACAAAAACACAGCTCAGTGAGAGGAGGCAGAATGATTGGACATCACTGGGAACTCTGGATTTTCCTCTAATGGATGACTTGGTTGATGCTATGTGTGGCCTGACTGGCTTCACGCCATCCTTCTAGTGTTTCAGCTTTGGAGCAACTGACTTTATTTGCAAGCATAAGTTCAGTCTATTTTTGTTGAATGAAGAGGGGGGGGTAGAACCATCCCAGTCCACATGAAGTGCTCTGGAAAATATCCTCCTCACAGTTTCATTATTCCATCCGGGTCTGTCTCATCACAAACATCCATGTTCAGGCTGGTTACAGTGCAGCTCCATCACAGAGGGTTCAAACGTGAGCTGCTGGAAACGTGTCCCATCAGGGATCAGTCCGAGACAGGAAACCACTGATCACAGTCGTCCTGCTCTGATCTGCAGGGAGAGAAGAAAACAAACAACAGCTCCATTAGACATTCAATTACAACTTTTGTCAATGTTGGAGCAACAGAGAGTTTATTAGTCTTTCCACAAACTGTGGTAAAGATTATGAATTAATTGTTTGTGTGATGTTTTACTTTCTAAAGTTGATAAAAAAAAAAAAATCTTTAAATTTAAATTCTACTATATTTCAAAGAAGTATCTGAGATGGGTCACATATTTGTAGCATGGCAGTAAACTTTATTTTTCCTATTGTCAATTATTCGAACAATTAACTTTCAAGTATTATCTCTCCTTGGTGCCACAAAGCTCTGCTGTTGTCCAAACAGCATGAACACATCAGTGAGCTCCAATGAGTGACATGTTCCTTCATCACCCTGATCACACACACTTTGAGTTAACTCCCCCCCAAAACACACACACACACACACACACACACCATCCCATTGTTTGAAACGCTCACTCTAGAACACCTACTACTTATTACTCTTTCTCTAAAATAAAAGATGTATCCTCACACTGACAGATTTATCCATGTATTTGCAGATTTGTCTCCAAATATCAATGCTCTTGCAAATCTCTTTACACATTTACAGATGTTTTGCCCATTTACTCTCTGATTACACAAACTGAATGTCTGAATACACATCTGTGGATTCTTTTTCACATTTACAAATCTGATTATTCACACGGATTGAGATGCAGTTTCACAACTCTCCGAACACACACTTCTTCTTGTGGTATGATCTTCTGTAGATGTCCAACTCTGTGCAGCACAGCGTTACATGGATGATTTTACTTGTGTGAATCAACATTATGATTATTTTTATTTTGTCATGACTCTGGACTGTTGGATAATTCATTTTTGTTTTTTGTTGGACTGACTCTTTCGGTTATTTGACTTTTACCTGTGTTTCCTTGTTTAAAGATTTGTGTTTCATTCTGTTTCATTCCGTTTACATTTGTGTTTCATTCTGTGTTTCCTGTTTTATTTTTAAATTCTGATCTCCCTCGTTGTTGTTCTGTTTACTTCCTGCCTTTGTGTGTCTCCCTCCAGTTGTGTTGCCTTGATTTGTTTCACCTGTTTGTCCTGCGCCACCTGTCTCCAGTTTGTCATCAGTTCAGTTTGTATTTAAGTCCTCTCGTCTGTCTTTGTCGAGGCGTCTCTTTAGTTGCTGTCTTAGTCTCTGTCAGTTTTGTCTCAGGTGTTATCAGATTGTTTTTTTTCATGTGTTTGAGTTTGGCTTTTTGTTTCCTGCTGGGCTAATGTGCCTCTCGCCTCCTCCTACATTTTGAGTCCACCTGCTCTCTATGCAAACCTGACATATTTATATCTACGAGTCCATGTGTCAGAAATTGTTACAAGAAAAGTTATTTATCTTGTTATTTATCATGTTTCATGAAGAGATTTCACTGATATTGTGGTCAAACTTTAAGTAACACAAGAAATGCAGTTGTGCAGTATTTTTGAAAATAAATCTGGAGGCAGAAACACCTTCACTGTAGACATTTTATCAAAAGTGCAATGTTGGGGCTACATTTCTAAAGTAGAGTCCCACTGTAACAAACTCCAAACACAAAATACAGCGAACAAACATCGGACAATACCTCAATACCTTAATTAACAATGAGAGCAACTTAAACCTCCAGGGTTGGTCACGTCTTAAAGGGATGGTTCACCCAAAAATGAAAAAACATGGTGTAAATGTCTGGGCTTCTGGAGACTTGGATGACACCACAACAGCAGTATGGAGGCATTATAGGTTGTCTGTCTTTTTTTACGTCTGAAGAAGTGGTCACCATTTACTTAGATTGTATTGGATTTGGCTGCAATGCTGTTTACCTCTACAACGAAAGGTGATTTGTGGACTCAAACACTTCACCCACCTCTCCATTGACACAGTGCTGAGTGGATAATGAGTAGATTTTCCTTTCTGGGTGAACTGTCCCTTTAACATGAATCAGGACTTTTATTTTGGAAAAAAAAATTCAAAACATTGTTTCAGCATGAACCCAGGATGACTTGTAACCAAAAGTAAAAGTGTCCAGTGTTGTGCTGTGTATCTTATGAATTGCAGTTCAGTTAGGATTATAATGATTGGTTGGGTTGCTTGTGGCTTCAGGGAACGTTTCGGAACTGGACAAAACCCCGAAACCTTCATATCTGTGGATTCTGTGGTATTTGCTTCACTAACGTCTAACTCCAAAATCTTCCCTCACAGTGGACCACTGCTCACACACCCATCAAGAGGCACATAGGAGGAAGCTAGAAACATGTGATTCAGTTAAATCCCATGACACTCTGCCTGGGATGTGATGTTGATGAGCTCATCTTTCTCTGGACAAACAGCTCACCCTCAATAATCCACTATCATTGAGTTACAACCACAGCAGCACACAGCATATACAGTATGTTGTTAAGTGATGAGGTTAGGTAGTGATGTCATCGCAAAAAAGATTAACCGCATAGGTCTGTTTTGTTTATTCTATTTATTCTGTTCATATTCAAGTTCATAATTTAATTTGGGTTATTGATTGAAAAGGTTTCCATCCTCTAATGTTCAGAAAACACATCGCTTTCCTCATAGTGCTGCGGCTCCTCTTTTCAGCCTCTGTCTGAAACACTTGATTTTAGATCCTGTCTCTTTAAGACCTGATGAAGCCCAGTCTGCTCTGATTGGCCAGCTGGCCCACTCTGTTGTGATTGGTCAACCACTTCCAGCACACATGGGAAATGCTGGCCTCCACTCTTGTTTTACTTGGCTCTGTTGTTAGACTAGCCACTATTTCTTTCTCTGTAAATCCAACCATTTCTCATAACCAGAGAATAGAGAGCTATGCCACCACACGACATTCAGAGTAATACTTGATCTTCATTTTGGAACACAAACAAAAAACCTAATGGAGCTCAGTTTAACTCTGATTCATCATTTCCTCTAAGCCGAGAAGTCTCATGTCCACAATTTATTTGAGCAAATATGATAAATGTGGAGTGTCTTTGGAAGGAGTCACTGTCTGATGTGAAGATTTAGAATAATGGTGTATTTTAAGCTCTTCGTTGTCTGATGGCTTTTCTGCAGTGAAATATGTAATTTTTTTCTAGGTTGTGGTTTAATTTGTACAGTTTCACATGTAGCCGATAACTTTGGATCCTTCAGACCCATCAGTCTCTGCAGATGCTGTATGGTAAAATATTGCAGAGATGTAATGCTAAACACAAACTGACTACTGCAATCAGCATGAACCGTCCACAGCATTTAACATGATGAGATTCACAGTTTCCGAGCTACTCATGGGCTGGAAAATCTCTTAACTTGTAGGAAAGCAATCATCTGACAAAGTTTTGCCTCATAAAGTTGTTGCAGAGAGTTTTTTATTTTTTACATATTCAGCCAATATTGAGCATTGTCATTAATGTGAGGTTGGTTTTTTTCACTACCTGTCGAATCTATGTCCAAAACTTTACTGTCGTTGTAGCTCAATTTGGTTCTCCACCAACTCCTGACAAACAATATGTTTTTTTGTTTGTTTTTTAAACTAAAGCTAATTTTCCACTGGTCAAAAAACCAACTAACATCTGGCTTTGAGTCTTTTATGCTGGCTTACCCAAATTTAAAAAACTTGAGTATACCCTCTAATTTTGGAGTAAACGAAGTATAACAGTATCCACGTGCTAAAAAACTGTTCAACTCAACTGGGTTGAGGCTCAACAGTGCTGCTGCTAAGCTAAAACAGGCAAAAACGTGAGTATAATGTAAAAAAACATTTGTATGTAAGTAAGTCACTTGCATCAATAGTATATATATATATATACATATATATATATGCTTGAAAGTTATGCTATATGTTTCAAATAAAACCTGATACATGAGCTTGAACTATGTGGTTCGCAGAGCTGGCAACAACACAATATGTATTATCAGCCATCAATCCATTTTATTAGCTGCACTAAAACTCAACACATGTACATTATTCATCTGTGCTAAATGTGACGTAATGCAGAGGTTTTCAAAGATAATATTCTACAGCATATCTTGGCATGGATTCATGTGTGTGCACGTGGTCATATACACGATGAGCTTGAGAGTTCACTTGTATGCCTCCCAGATATCAGGGTGCATGGTTTAGTTCAAACTGTCAGAGCAGCTGTCTGGAGCGGTAATTTATCATCATCAGAATATTACCTCTTAGTGAGGCTGCCTCTCAGTGCTGCCATTAAGATGGCCTCCTTCATAGTCCAGCTGGCACAGGATCATGTTGTTCTTGAGGAAAAACTTGTCTCCCACGCAAAATCTGCAGAGAGGAATAAGAATATGGAACTGGGTCTTGGTTCTTGCTGGAGCTGAAGTAAATCATGAGATCCCAGAGGAGCATTTCAGGCATATTTTCAGAATACATCCACTGCTATGATAATCAGAAAATTAATCTTGCATGATCACTGCCTGAAGTTACATACAAAGCCCTTAACCCCTGGAGGCTTTAAACTGGGCAGTACATTTCACCGTGGTCTGATTACAATGCAGTGGTAATAGTCTCATGATGACTAGTACACCTCCGTCGACTGAATTTGATCACCCTGGCTAATTGCTCCCCTAATCTTACCTCTGGCGGCAGAGCTGACAGGCGAAGCAATCTAAATGGTAGACGTTGTCCCTGGCTCTCATCACCATTTCAAAAGCAGGGATCATCTTACTGC